AGACTGAGAAAACATAGCATTACATAGGGAAAACAACAATATCATTCTTCTCAGGGCACAACTGCAACCCAAATAACTGATGGTCCCTGTGACATCATATGAATTTCCAGTGGAAAAGATCTCTGTTTATTTTTATACATAAGTACTATGTTATTACAACAATCCTTCCCATGAAAAAGTATATTGTGATATACTAAGTGAATGACCTAGTTCTATGAGTAATTAGAGTGAGAAGAATTTAGTGCTACACTTAACTTACTTTCTATATTAAGAACACTTAACTGACTTTCTATATTAAGAAAATATGCTAAATATGTACATATTTTTTGAAAAATGTTTATATTAACTAAAGGAGTGGAAAAATATTATAAATATACATTTCACACCCCTCTCCCATTCGAACCAACCCAACCATTCATAAATTTAAAACTTAAAATCAGTTAAAATATCTTGCATACTCGTCAAGAAATCGATATAACTTACTTTAACTCTTGCAAATTACTTGTTCAAAAATACATACAAACATAAAGGGGATAACGTTTTTACTAAACAAAGGAATGCATATTGACATTAATGTCACACGTGTTCAAACAATGTAACTTCTCAGCAATGGCTTTAAAACAGAAATAAAACACCCTTTAAAAGTTACTGACATTTAATTACAAAACAAAAAACATTTAACACTTCTGACACTTGGATGAGCTCTGTGAAAATCTGACTTCTGAGAAGATTCTCCACATGGTAACTGCGGCTAGGACAATTCAGAATTATGATACGAGTTTCTGCAGACTCCATCAGTTCTGACTTGACAAGAGTAGACCTCCCTGGCTAGGCTCGTTGCAGACTAGGTTCAGTCAGGCTGAGGTCGCTTTTTGTTAGCTTGATATCTCCAAATGCTTCTCCAGCTGGAAGTGGGGCTGCAGTCTATTCCTCATTTATCTAGTGTGGGTTTCCTGGAGACTTCAGAACCAGTCCACCCATGGCTTCGATCAAAGTCCACATGTCTAATGAGTTGGGAAACTCCATTATTCTTACTCTACTTGGCTGAGGAGTCTTGAGGACAGTAAAGTAGTTGGAGACAACTGAAAGGTTTGCAAACAGATAATTTTCTGTCAACTCACTCTTCATTCTTAATAGTAGCTTCTTAGGATTGGCAACACACAAATGTAAACTTCATCAAAATGTTATTTGAAAACGAGATAGCCAGAATAGTTAATAACTTGATCTGAATTGCATTCTAAGGTCAACCACTTTCTGATTGATCGAAAATTTAGCTGAAAGTTTAGGTTAAATTTGTAATGACCCAGTTACAACAATTACTTATCCTAACATTTCCTTTAAAGAGGGAGCGTGAAAACTGCTATCATGGTCAAGTGTCATTTCTACAGGCCTGCACATACTCACGTGTATATCACCTGTAGAAAATGTATCCCTTTCACCCGTGAGCACACTGGTCTTCAGGCTTCATTGAGAATCGTACTTGACCTTCCTACATCCAGCTCAGCTCTCTGCTGTTGCCGTTGCCATAACGACAGCTCACAGCTACATTCCTTCCAACTGTTTGATTGTTATATAAACAGAACCTCAGGTTCAGCAGGAAAGAAATGGGGTGAAATAGTAAATTCTGGCTCATACACAAGTAACCAAAATAGGCAAGCCATCAGATAAACATTATCCTTGATCTTCTCACCATAGAAATTTACCAACACCAACATCTAAATTCCTTTCAACTGAGTATGTTTGCATGAATATTCAACATTCTAACACACAAACCGACTCCTTTCAGTCACTTTCTAGATATAAGTTTAGCATAACTAATGGCAACAGGGAAGCAATACTATATTGGTTTTTTGCCACCGGCCATACTCTTACAGCTTGCATTTCAACTGCACCTTGTACTGAAACGATATTAAGAAAATACTCAATAAACTGCGTGCTTCTCAAAATATTTCAATCTGCATAATTGAAATCATTCATTTACAACCAAATAAAACAGTGAACTAAATTTATACTTGGTATAACTTAAGCTACTGCTTTTTGAATTTCACTTTCTACTAATAATTTCATCTTCTCTCGAATACTTCCATTTGGTCTAATTGAACACATTGCTTGGTACTGCTTTAGAAAACAGTTGGCCAAGCTGTATTTTCTTAGTGGTATAGTATGAGTCTAAATTACACTTTTATTGCGTGTATAAACATCTACTATTTGCTAACTTTCTAAGTGTCAAAACTGAAATATTCTCCGACCAGTATTAAAGAAAATATCAGATGCATGTATTTTCAAATAAACCTTTACAAGTCATTCATCATGGTTAATTTCATATTTCAAAATCTTAACATCCGACCAAATCCTTTATTTTCATTCACATGTTGCATGATAGTTGTACAGTTATTATCTTAACAGCTGATCCAGCACTTAATCCTAGCCATACCACATCTTCTTCAGACACCTCTTCATTTGACTCATATTTTACAGCCAGATAAATAATTTAAGCATCTTATTCATAATCAGCTGAGCTAATATGATAATAAACAATACTTTCATTGTCCTCTTACTCGCCAGTCTCGATTTCTGATTCCTGCTCAAGTTAGTGCACAATAGGCTCATCAGTAATGCATGGTCTAGATTGTCAATATGCTACACATGCTTTCTCGTGCCATGTAACTGCTATACCTTGTATTTTAATAGAATGATCCAACTGAGAACTAAATCAGGACCTGTCCAACCAGATACGGGCTGCTTCCATGCCACAGAATTTACCAAAGCCATATTCAATTTCTGTGCTGGAGCTTCTATTTCTTGACTGTTTGGTTATAACATCTCTACAACAATATGATGGCATTCCATAATACTGGCATACATATATGTGTTAATTGGCCAGTGCAGACCTTAGCCAGAAACTCCAGTACATCTGCTCTAAGGGGAGGACTGTACATCACATAAGCAAGGAGCAATATTTCCAATCAGATATGAGTATGTTCAGCAAACAACAAGCCAATGTCTGCTCTGTTGTAATATACACCATCATGACATATGGTAAGAGTTTGTCCCAGTCAGATAATCTGAGATTAACAACATTTGCAAGAATTGGTTTGACAGTTTGTATTACCAACTCTGCTAAATTAGTAGACTGCTTAGGTGTTGAAATATGATGGTGTCAGGGAGAATTTTTGTGTCTAAGAGAAGTCTTCTTCTGGACAACAGACTCTTGCTGATGTTGTGAAGGTCCATGACATCTTTCCGAGTGTGGTCATAGACCTTGGAAGGAATACTGCTGAAATCTGGTGTAACAGTAATAACTGATCAGGCTCTTCTCCTGATATTTAACTATTTCTCCTAGTTATGAATTCTTCAAATGTGAAAAACGTTTTTTTCTTCTCATATTCAAAATTTCAACTTATTTACTCAAGAAATCGGAAGAGCACAGAGAGATACACTTGTCAAGAGATAAACAAGCACTGCACTATAACAAATCATGGTCAAGACACCAAATTTGCTACATACTTTGTAATTTTCTAAGATTAGTTAATTTTATTTTGAGTAACCAGGACCCACAGAAAAATTGAAGGATTACCAGAAAATGTTTTACGGAGCACAGTTTGAATTCTCTTAACCTCAAATGAGTTTGAAGCAAAAAATGAGACCGGGTACAATGTATCACACAATGAAATAACCGTTATTCAAACAACAATCAAAGCTTTTAAGGGTAAGTGTATTTAGGCACCTTTACTAAAGGGATACTTTGATTGAATCACTATTTGCATTAATGAGAGAAATATTGTTCGATACAGAAAAACAAACAAACATGATGTTGTATTCCTTGGGTATCGCCTGACTTGCTTTCTATACAGTATGTGCTATGTTACATCAATCTTTCGCACGAGAAAGTACTTCAATGAATGACCTAGTTCTGTGAGTAACTAGGGTGAGAAGAGCTTAGTGATTCCTAGACTGACTTTTTATATTAAAGACACATGATAAATATTTACAGAATTAATTAAAAATTGGTATATTAACTAAAGGGTAAGCTTGCGTATCATAGCGACAAGAAAACGAAAATTTGGACTCATTTATTAACAGTTAAATATAGATAAATAAATAACTCGAAAACACCAGGCTTGAAATTTTTTGAAGCTGTTGTTTTTGTTTTTACATTAGCGTCAGTTAAATTCAATAAAAGTAAATTAAAATGTCCGCCATAAATGATTGTCATTATTTATTATTTTCTTTTTTTTTGTTATAAATAATGTCACTTACAGCTATATTTCTCAAAAAATAAATGCCGTTTCATATAATTCCCAAGGGACAACAATGGGACATTTGGCCCATTTATACTACTCCATTCTCTGATACAACGTATTACAAATTAAATGTATAAACTCGATTTTTATAACCTACTTTGATATTAAAAATACTCATCGTCTATTCTCTTAAACATCTGCCCTCCAGTGGCTCAATGGTAAGTCTACAGGCTTACGACGATAAAAATATCGGGTTTCAAAACTCGTGGTGGGCATAACACAGATAGTCTATTGTGTAGCTATGTGCTTGATAAACAGTAAACCAAATTTAAACATATTCAATGTTGCACATTCTACCATATCTAAAGGCGAACTATTTACACAGGATAACCAGCCTATTAGAAAACTAACACAACCTTAAATAGTTTTGTATGAGATTTCTAAGTTTTAAACTCGTGATTTCTGGAACCTATTCTTTCTGTAACTTGTAATTTGATGTCATTTTGATAATGTATTAACAAAAATATAACTAATGTCTGGCTTTGACAGTATTGTTTGCCGAGATATTTCATACACTACAATGACGTCGACGAAAAGTCTTAGCCTCAAAATAATCATGGATTATTTTTGGTGTGTTATTATTAGAGACATTTTCTTTATTTTCTGCAACACTTTTGACTCTTGCATGGATTTACATTTTATTTTTGTCATAATTTCCAACAACGCACCTGCCACCTATAGAGAGAATATTTAGAATACCGTCTGTCAGTTGTGAGCCAGGACTGAGAAGGAAATGGGGTGATGTTGATCTCAAAATTAATGGATTTCTTTATCTCAAGACTTCATTATTTGGGTTTCAAAGACGTTCACGGTAAGCAGTATTGCTAATTTTATTACTTTTAGTGAAACTTTAATACAGAAAGATAATAGTATTTATAGCATAGTGATTAAGTTTAACTTTAAGTAGAAAAGCACTAGTAGTAGTACTACTACTGGTAATACTATAATTACAAATTTCAAGTGTGAGAGTAGTAATAGTATTCCTAACTCACAAATAATCTTACTAAGCTAATCGATAACTCTCACTACATAAACTGAACACTTATCACTGTATACCTCACTGACAACTAACTCACTGATTACTGATATTTACTCTTGTTTATACTTACTTAGTACTTACCATACAAAGTTTTTTAGATCATAACATTTTGTACCCTCTACTACTACTAGTTATTATTGCCTTTTGGAAAGTCATGCATTAATCTTAGTTATACATAAATTGTAAGAAATCTATATGCAATTTTTAAAGCATTTTTAATAATAAAGAAGTAGATGTGAATTATCATGCATTTAAGAGTTGAATTGTTTAACAGTTTCATTGGGTATAGCTTTGCCAGCCAAAGTAGCTTACTGATACTGTAGCCACCAAATGAACCAATATTGGTAGTCTGAACATGGGAAGGTATTTTTGTTTGGTACTTTAGTATGGAATACTGATAACTGCATTTGGCATGCTAAAATCAGAAAACTTTTTAATTCATAGTTTACAGTCAATTATTTGTTATCTTAGTTTATTTGTTTATAGATATCAAATTCATATTTTGAAGTTATAAGATATACATGATCATAGTTTATTTACAGGGTAGGCTTTCAAGAACTTGTATCTTCCATGTGTATGTGATGTCTTAGTTATAGATTTTATTACTTAACCAAAAATAATAAGCTAAAGATGCAGTTTTGATTTTATTAAGGTTACTATGTGTTTTTGTACCCATATAATTTTCATTTATTATTTAGAATGAATAGCAAACATAAATTGGAAGTTTTTACGACAGATTATCAGGAAACCTGTTATTTTATTGACAATCAATAAATCAGAACTTATATGTTTATGTGAAAGGTTATTGTCATAATCGACTTTGTACTGGGTACGTAATAACACTACAGTCATTTAGTGACATGACATCATTTAAGAAGCATTATCTTTTGAAAATGAAATATATTCATTTGCAGTAAAATTTAAGCACTAATTCAGATTTACAAAATAATTGTAAAAGGGAAAAATATACTTATGAATTTATTTATTTATAGGTTATGCTAAAAAACTTATATTTTATTTTCCAAACTTTGAAAGCATACAGCTCTTCAATTTATAGGCTTAACATTAAAATGTGATGTGCCTGTCTCAAGGTATAATTAGTAGTTTGAAATTTGTTTTTTGGCAATTCTGTGATCTCTATATAAGGATCTGTAAGCATGTCTTGTCATAGTATGAGCATCTATGTGCATAAAAAATATTTTAATGTTTAGCGTACTTTCTAAAAAAACATGTTTTTCACCATTTCTTACTAAACCATTATATTACACTTGGTTGTAAATTATTTCTGCTGCTACAATTATTATACATTTTACATTGTATTTCATCATACATCTCATGTGTATCAATTACACACAATTTTCCAACACCATTAAAGTGTGTGCCATACATTTTCAAACATGGTTTACAAAATGGTGGGTCAGAAAATAAGCATTTTTTTAGACCTTGAGGTAGACACATCAGGGTCTATACTGATAAATTATGTTACATGATATTGTGTAAGATAAATGTATAAATTAAGAATATAGAAGTTTTAAACATTTGTGTTCTTTTATTTTCACTGTTAGTCCTTTGATTCACCAGTGCACTTTGTTTCTTTGCTTTTACATTTAAATGATTACATTTGTATGTTGTCTTAATGCCTGTCAGTTGCCTGGGTAGGTACTTACAAGTGGTGTAGTTTTAATTTTTTGTCGACAGGTGCACTGAAATATGTTAAACTTTTTGGCTTGTTTCTGTACAATGTATTTCCATCCAAAATTAATTTAGTAATTATTTAAAACTGCTAATCAAAAATAAGCCAGCATTATAGATCAGAATTAAAATTGTTATAAGTGAAATGTACTATTCTGAATAACAAAATCATGAGAAGTAATAATACTTAATAATTTTTAACCCTACTCTACACCAATAACCTAAAGCTCTTAATGGTTAGATTGAATTCTCTGGATACCCTTACTGTTAATGATATTTTCAGCCATGATGCCAACAATATCTTACTAGAATTGGCCAGTATAGGAGATTTAGATTAGTCCTAAAACCACACACAAAGCCAACAATACACAATAAGTTTTCAAACAGTGTATCTGGACTTTCTAATTTATTTGTGCCATATTTTGAAGACAATAAAACAAGAGGATAAAAGTTTAAGATTTGAAAAAGATAAGATAGGCACCAGTTAAGACAATTTCATTTTACTAACAGGTTAGTTATGTAATGATTTGCCAGTTACCAAATGGTCCTTTCTTACCCACAATGTTCTGTTACACCCAAAATAATTTAATGAAACAAAAAAAAGCAAAAGGAATACTAAATGTGACATAATCTATGGATAACAAGTGTACATCCAACATTAATATATATAACAGTAAAACTGTAAATGGTTATTACAAATTTGAAATAATTTAATTATATGTAATTTACTTTACATTTATTGAAATGTTTCACACATTTTCCAAGTATGTTAATATTGGCATTGTTTTTGAAATAAATTCTAAATGTTTTCTTTTTATGATAGACGCACATTGATCAACTGCTATAGGTCTACTATGCTGTTACTAACTAAAAACGTGTGTAGACCTGGGTTTCTCACTACATACAGACAGAACTTTCAAGAGAGTTTGGTGGTAGGAGAGTATGTAATTAGTATTACAACAATGAGCAAGTCAAGTAGGCCTAGTACATTCTTGATTCAATGTGACTGACAGTTTGATGTCTTTCTCATAAAACCGGGATGTTTTTTGCATCTGGGACAAACTACCAAAAAATAGGACAGTCCCAGCAAAACCTCTCTAGATTAACACTCTAGATTAACATCATGTGAACTAATCGATTAATGTATCGGATTATTACTGTTTTTGATTATTCCAACAATTAATTATTAGAACTTAGGATTAAATCAGTTGTCATGAAAATAGATTGTTCACAACTGAATCAGGCTGAGTATGGCCCAGTGCTTAGTGTGCCAGATTGTGGTTTGCATCCTTTTACCAATATAAAAGCAAAAAAAAAACACATTTTGGGCCATGGATGCATTGAAAAGTGTTATGGGCAAATCCCAATATTTGGTCTGATAAGACTAGCCTAAGAGTTGGAGGTGAGTGATGTTGACTAACTGCTTCCCCCCCCCCCCTAATCTATCGTATTCAAAATAGAAATGGCTGTCATAATTAGTATTATTATGTATATGACTGACCATGCTATTTGATTAAAACGTGTTTAATACTTTAATTATAATTGAGTAAATTTTGAGCCCAAACTATTACAGTAAATATATATATATATATATATATACATACACACAGTGTGGTCACAAGTAAATAGACACCACCTTTTGAGAAAAAATGAAAGTTTTCAGTCATATTCACATGAATTGATATATTTATAAGTTAATTAATATCTAGTAGATCTTCATTTCGCTTCGTGGAGTTCGTTGATCCTTTAGGGCATCGTGAGAATCATCTCGTCAATTTTAGATTGTGGGATTTTCGCCCACTCTTGCTTCAAAACTTGGAGTAGATCGCTCTTCCAAGTTTTTTTTTTTTTTGTTGTTGTTGTTTCTTGACTTGCCGGTTGAGTATGGCCCAGAGGTTTTCGATGGGGCTCATGTCAGGAGATTGGCTCGGC